AAATGAACCCTTGTGGTAGAAACTGACAAATATTGGGGTGCAGCACCTTACTTAAATTTGCTTGTAAATCTATATCCCAGATACGTTGTTTAAAGGCAGTTCTAGCATTATCAAATCCTAATAAGCACAGAGTTTGTATAGAGAAGTGCAGCAATTGAATTCTATCTAAGGCTTGTTTTGCCACAATGATTTGAAATGATCCCTAAATATTAACGGGGCTAAACCTATAGGAGACAGTAATAACTTTAGCCAGAAGATAAGAAGAAGAAACCATGCTCTGGCATCCAATGAAACTATACCTAATTCTACCCTTAAGAAGGCATTTTTAACACTTTTTGGTACCATCAAAATGGCTCTCATAAACTTATTTTGAATAGTTTCAATTTTATTGAAGTTTGCAAAGGAGTTGAGGTATTACTTTAGCTTGGAAGACCTTGCATGCTGCAGGGATATAATGGGCTCCTTTCAAATGGTAGAATCTTATGATTGCTGATGAAGTGCACTGTGCCACACTTGCTCGGTAAAGGAAATGTGCATTGTGCCCCATGAATAACAAGTATGCTCATTTTTAAATTTTTTAAAAATAGTGTTCTATTATCATGCCTCCATTATTCTTCATCAACAACAAAGATTGTTGTTCGTCAGCAAAGATTGATTTTGCTGCAAGAGAGAAATATGAAAGCTCTTCTGAGAATTATTTATAGAATGTAAAAGAATGTTCACATGTTCAATTCTAGTTTTTTTATATACATTATTTTTACCTACACTTTCCCCCCCAAGGTTCTGAGTTGCTGTTTTTAATGAAAACAATAAATGAATACAGTATTATTAATTGTTCTATTATTGCATAAGCATTGAAACTGATCGTTTAGGTGTTTTATTTTCAGGCAGCTAAACAAGAACTTGAGCGTCAACGACGGCTTGAATGGGAGAGGATTCGTCGTCAAGACCTTCTTAATCAGCGTAATAGAGAACAGGAGGAAATTGTCAAGTTGTCCTCTAAAAAGAAGAGCCTTAATCTTGAACTAGATGCACTGGTGAGCCATACACTACACAAAAAGGATAGCATTACAACTAAACATTCTGTTTTAACTCAGTTGTTTTCCCATGGCTGCTTCATATTTTTCATCTAATTGCTTTAACCGTAAATAAAGTGTGGATTTTGTTTGATCTATAGTATCATTTCCTCACTTCTCATATTCAAATTATGAGTATGCCATTTATAGAGCCAAAGCACTCATTCAGCATCAGAAGGTTTGAAGAACCCTTTAGGTTTATGGAATCTGTGTAGTTGAGGGGGGGGGGACCCTCTAAATGGCTATGGTGGGTATCTTCCCCCCTCAACTATGTTTTATTTATTCATTTCAATAACATTTGTCTTTGAAGCACAGTGATATTATTTCTTGTATTACTTCAGTGTATATTCTCCCTTTTCATCTCTAGAGCTTTAAGGTGATTAATAGATAGGAAAAGAAATACAAAATATAAAAATATAAAACAGTTTTTAAAACCCACATAAAAACACCTGAAATTATCTGTCCACCTTAAAAACCATGGCTGAAGAGGAGAGTGAAGGCTTAGAGGAGTTCCAAAAAGGAGTATATTTTATAGCACGGGATTAGCCCAGAAGAAAATCACCTACATTCTTTTAATCTTTCATAGATCGGCCAGGTTTTGCTACAAGGAGTGGTAGAAAAATCTCACAAACTAAACGGTTTTGATCCATCAGGTGCTTAGAATAGACCGTTTTAACTAGTCCGGTCCCCTGCAGTCCAAATACTAATTGGGATAATTGTGTGGCTGCCCCAGTGGACATAAAATCATGAGCCAGTCCCAATCGAGCATCCTCCATGTGGATCTTGAAATTACTCAGTAAAGACAATCCACTATTGTCCCTGAGATTACCCTGCTAGGAAGGGCAACTTTGTTAGAAAAGGGAATGGCTAGTATACCAACAGCATCCCTGCATTGTCCCACTTGTGGTAACCTCCATTAAGACTTTATGGATTGCTAACTGGAGCATCTGGTCAGTGCATTGAAATTCATATATTCCATATCCACACTGCCTGCCCAGCTTCTAGTCTTGACCTGCTACTCAGTGGAGGAACCTGGCAGACAAAGCTCTGAGAGAACTCTCCTCAACTTTCCCTTAGCCAGGTCTCAATCATACATGCCAGAGCTTGGATTAAACCTGGAGGAGTGATGAGTAATTGTATATCAGGATGTGTGTGTGTTATTGATTTAATGTTTCAAATGTGTATTATTACAGAATGACAAACACCAACAGATCTCTGGAAGACTGGAAGATGTTCGTAACAGAAAACAAAAGCATAAAAATGAGTTTGTCAATCTAGAAAAGAAATGTGATATGGGAATTATTGAAATCAAGCAGTTGGAGCAACAGCTTCACGTATGTGATGTTCTGTTAAGTCTGGAATTCTTGTCAGTTCCACAGAATGATGGTCAACGCAGAAGGGGAAAAAAATAATTGAAATTACTTGTCTATTAAGGCTACAATCTTCTGAGCATCCCAAGATTCTTTGTTGTTGTTTTTCTCGAGAAGGTTGCCTGTTCTCTGCCATTCATTCTCTCTAGGCTCTTCATTCTCATCTGCACAGTTTGCTTCTCTGGGGGGAACAGATTACTGTAGCCCAATATCAGAACTGAGAGCTTACAGGGATTCTTTGAATTGAGGTTCCGGGCAACAGGTTGTCCATTCCTACTCTCAGTACTAATACAGAATGTTCAAGAAGCCTGACAGATTAAGTTCTTATCATTCCTGATCTCTGACTGCTACTTTAAGCATACAGAGATAGATGTTCTATAGAACAGTAATAATATGAATCTTTTGCAAATCAGCCCTAAGTCCAGAAGGTACCAGAGGCTCCTGAGGATCCTCCTTAAGCAGGAATGTTTCTCCAGTTTTCTAAAAAATGAAGTTGAGTTTATGACAATTTTCTGTTAGATCTCTACATTTTAAGATTTTCAGGAGATACATTCCTTGTCCTTTCATATCAGCTGCAGATGGTAACCACGTAAACTCTGCAAGCAAATAATGAAAGCAAGAATTTAGCACAACCACTACATTTAAAAGAAATACACTATAAGGTTGTGAGAGCCACTTTGGTGTAATGGTTAAGGCAGCAGGCTAGAAAATGGGAGATTGTGAATTTAGTCTGGCCCTAACCCCTTGGGCATGAAAGCAGCTGGGTGACTTTGGGCTAGTCACTCTCTCTCAGCCCTAGGAAGAAGGCAGTGGCAAACCACTTCTGAAAAACTTCATGAAGAAAACCACAGAGACTAGTCTAGGCAGTCATCAGGAATCAAAACTGACTGGAAGGCACAAAGAAAAATTGTTTTAGTCGGGATATTTTAAAAAATATATATATACACACACACATACACACAGTACTGTGCAAAAGTTTTAGGCAGGTGTGAAAAAAAGCTGTAAAGTAAGAATGCTTTCAAAAATATA